CTGGTCAGCACCCAGACATTCGTTTAAGAGCCATTGAATTAGGGTCTTTCTGTGTTCTCCTTCATCAGCGCGTCGTTGTTTATCGAAGGTTTTCCGTATATCCAAATGCATAGTTGTCCATACTGTACTAGTTTTCTTGGTAGAAGCTTCAAAAAGTTATTACATCATATCAAATTTATTCACAGTCATGAACCAAACTTTAGCATCACATGCAGACAATGCGGCCAGTCATTTCGAAAATTCAATTCGTTCAAATCCCATATCCAGAGAGAAGAGAAGAAGAATGCACTGTTAAATTTTGCGAACGTAAGTGAGCAAGGCGATGAAGACGTAGAAGATGAAAACTCTGATGAAGAAGATGGAGAAGACAACGATTCAAATGAAGACACAAACTACGTCGACGATGTGACAAGATTCTTGGCACTGTTTATTTTAAAAACCAAAGAAGAAAATCAACTAAGCCAACAGACAATCAATGCTATTCTTGACAATACAGGAGACCTAGTGGACAGTAGCTTAGTGGAAATGAAAAACAAAGTGGTGGCATGCCTTCAAAGCAGTGGAATAGAAATTGCTGATGTTGAGGGCCTATCTGGAGTACTTGATGAGCCAAGTATCTACTCCCAAGCAAAACAACGTTTGCAGAATGAATACCAACAGATGAAGTACTTTGTTGAGAATTTTAACTTTGTGGTAAGTCCTTAGCTTATGTCCAGGCTTTAATAGATGTGATTAGAAGATATGGGACAAATTAATGTATTTTATCACTTGTGTTAACTTGCTTTAAAGTCATCTTAATTAGCCTTCTTATAAACACATGCATTACCAAAATAATATAAATATATTGATTATTATGCTGATATGAGTTTTAATATATATAGGAGCCACAGGAAGTCATCCTCAATCAATATGCTGAATATCGCTATCTGCAAGGCAAGCAAAAACTCTGCCTGGTCAAGGAAACATTTCATTACATCTCGATACTGAAAACCCTACAATCTTTGCTCAATCAGGCAGATGTTTTATGTGAGGTAAGCATCCTATTTGATGTATGTAGAACAGGGAATATAACAGGAACTGCAGAGATGGGTAGGGTTAGGTTTGCATTTTCTGATGTTAGCGCCCCCC